TATGATACCATTCCCAAGAATTATTTGTGGAGGAGACATCTTTATGTTTCCATGACCCACAGGGTGCAAATACTAACCTTGAATAACAGTGTCTGGCTGTCTTGCTGTGTTGCAGATGGAACAGGCAGGACTAAGTAATGTGGCCAATGCAAACACACTGAGAGTTGAGCAACTTTGCAGGGTCAGGCTGGACACACGCTGCAGTATAAATAAACTAAAACACAAAAAGAGTTTCCAAACTGCTCCTACAGGAAACTGAGACCAGAACCAGGTCTGTACCTTTGTCTTGAAGACCTGTGCCCACTGAGACAGAACCATACCACCAAATTATTAGACCTGACAAATGTTATATATTATGTAGTCCTTGTTCAAATAGAAAAAGTTTACTCTTTCACACCTCAAAGCAATCTGGGAACAACATTAATAACTACAGAATAAGGCACAAGTTCCATTCCTCTCATATCTCTTAATAAATTGCCTTAGTTGTCCAAATCATGTTCAAGCTAGACCTTTTCCGAATACTGCTTCTTTTCCTTTTAAATTTTACATTTCAAAATAGTCACAAGCTAGAAGAGAATTATGTACGGGCATAATCACAGGTCGTTATGTTCCCACACTGAAGAAGCCCTCCCTGAATCACTGGGGATTTTGAAAAGCTCCCCTTTGGACCTTTTTGCTTTTATTTCATCCACCGCTAACAATACATTAGCGGTGGATGAAATTGATTACATACAGTGCCACAATTAGTAGATTAATTGATCGACAGAAAATTAATCTGTGACTACTTTACTGAATTTGCGATAACATTTTTCGATAAAAATGTCAAACTTTCTCTGATTCCAGTTGCTTAAATGTAATGATCTGCCGCTTTCTTTCTCCAACATCAGGCCCACATTCAAATAAGTGAAGTTTATTTATATCTGATTGGTTTTTCTGGCCATATAAAAACTGGATACAGCAGACGGTGCAGTTACTTTTCTATCATTTCAATCCTGTTCCCCGACCCACTTGCTTATGTATTATTAGATTCTTAATCTAGTCTTAAAGTCTGGCAGTTACTGGCCAGTCAACATCTCTTAATGCTCCCCTCAATCTAAGCAGTCTAGAACTTGGGCCTGTCCAACATTATAGTAAACTGAATATACTTTTTGGAGAGTTGGTTTAACAAAACAACATATTAGATTAACTCGCCTTAGGCTCTGGGAAATAGGAAGGGGTGTTATTCACTGTTTTATAGACCAAACAATTAATTGATTAACCATGAGTGAGTATAACTGACAGAGTAATTGATTTTTAAAATAACTTTAGTTGCAGCACTAATGAGGGTGGAGCTTAAACGATTATTTGATTAACTGGTCGATCAACAGTTACGTTACTCACCTAAATTGTGAGAAAATAGTTTTAAATTGTTAATTCCAACCACAACTTCAAACAGCCATTATGCTTGTATGACAGTTTGCTGAAAGCATTTTGCATGTGCCGCTTTTGAAATACGACTAACAATATGCAAAAGCATGAGAGGTTACAGAGTTAACAACATAATAGGGAGAGAAGGAGAAACAGAAATACAGACAGCCACATACAGAAAACAGCTTTAAACAGAACCAGACCTGCCTGGGAAATAAACAGGAAACACATGTCTAGGACAGATGGGCACACAGACCAACGGACAGAGGCAGCAGTACCCCAGGCACTTGGTCTGATCACCTGCTTAGTTTCAGCTTTAACACTGAAATAAGCTTGCATTTCACTGAAGCAGTTTTTCATTTAGCATTGTAAACAAGTGATTTATTAGTAGGTTGAAACCAACCACTACACACACCAACAACACTTATACAACTTATGCTATAGCACTAAAGCCAGAAGCTCCACATCATACCTACTCTGTCATTTATTAACAAGGCGTGGTTCATGCAGCCATGTCCTGAGAACTGAGTGAGGAACTAACATGAACAAAGTTAGGGCTCACATTCATTCACAATTTATATTAGAGGCTTGCACAGCAGTGCTTTTTCAATACTGCACCAAGCCACTCCCACAGAGATTCTGATCACTCCAACCACAATCTATCAAAATCTGTGTGCATGTTCCAGCAGGGAAAATAAGACACATACCTGTACATCCATCATAGATTTTATCAACGTAAACAATAATATAAAATTAAAATAAGCCTCAATTAAAAAAACAAAAACAAAAAAACAAAAAGAAACAGCCAAAGAATTCTTGAAACATAGAAACATCATGTTCTCTTCACAGATCACCACAATGTTGGTATTTCCAGAGAAAATAACAAAGATTTGTTACAGTACTGTTGCAGTACAGTCAAATAAAGACCTCCAGTCGAGCAACACACAGTGACACATACAGTGCAATGGGACTATCACATATCTGCACTGAGAACACACACTCAAGTGTGTCTGAGATGTTTCATTGAAAGAGAAATCAAGCTTTTTAATGTGTTTCATTATGTTCTAATTTGGATATACACAGAAGGACGAATGCCACTATGTGGCCACATTATCACGTAGTCTTGCTTTGTTGCCTGGACACTTGTTACTTTCCCTCCACACCATTGCAATTTCTTCTTCAATTAACTTTCTGTCGTTCTAAAGAAAAAAAGGGGACAGGCTGGACACCGTTTTAGTGCATATCAACACCCAACCAACTGATGGTTTTTGAAAAATCTATTGACTTGTCTTTAAATTGTGTAAGAAAAAAGAAAAGTGTAGTGCTGATAAAAGTAGCCAAGGTTCAGGCCAGGAAGCATGAGTTTGATGACATTTGGTTAAATTTGCATTTGTGTGGCTGACTAGGGAGGAATAAAACAGCTTCTGTTTTACTTATTCATAAGTCTTCATGACAAACTGTGAGGTAGGAAAAATAAACTCTATAACACCCAAAAGACAATAGGGGTTTGAGATCATCTGCTCTCTTTTTACTGACCTGCTGCTCTACCACTGAGGTATTGAATACATTTATCATAAGTTACGTAAATTGGTTGTCCAGATTTTGGGTTCATTAGATGCAGAGTCAGCTGGGACAGCTACATCAGTCTCAGGAGGGAATAAGCAATGGAAATATAAAGAACAAAACAGGGAGAGGAGGACAAAGAGGGAATTCAGCGTGAATGAGGAGAACTAGAGTCCATTACATTACAGCATGGGGGTGGAGTCTCACCTCCCCCCACTCAGCCAACGGGAAGCAAGCCAGCAGGATAATCAATAACAGTGACTGCTATTTGACTCAGTCCCGCATAACATGCTCATGAGCCAACAATGTTTATGCTATCAATGACCCTCCCTGGTGAATCACACAAAACTGACACCCAGCTTGTATGTATGGTTTGACCATATCATAGACAATCGAGTTGCCTCCCTTAAAACAACATCACTAGATATAAAGTGTGTGGCCCTGATGCCTCTACAAGCCAAGTTACAGCACATAATTTTGTGGCTTTAAATTCAGTTCATGGCCTTTGCTCTGCTCTCCCACCATTGTTGTTACTACAGACAGAAATGGTTGCATGTGCACAAACATGCGCTGGGGAAACCAAAGCATGCCACAGTATGATATCTTGCATAACCATCAAATCAAATGTCATTCTCTCTCCCACAGTCTGTAAAATCTTATCCAGCATGCAGCTGTAATTGCAGCTCCGCAGCAGGAATTAAATACTGGGAACTGATTCTCTCAGCGCCATATGAAGTGCTGTAAAAGCAGCAACTTAACTAACAGCAGTCTGGCAAAACATGGACTATTGGAGAGGAGTTTGTTAAATATGCACTCCATGACCTCTCCTTGCTATTGCTACTCTGGAAAAACAGAGGTTTTAAAATGTTGCCCTGGCTGTGTGCCTTTAAACAGGTTGATACCAGGTTGGCAGAGGGCAGAGGGATTTGATGTTGTTCCAACACATTCATGTATGTGTCCAGTTAAAATGAGTACTGTAAGAATGGAAAGCTGGGTGGAAAAAGAGATTCAGATAGTAGGGCAAAGTTAAGCTATCTTTTAAGACCAAAAAGGTGGCATTCTACCAACTGTCAGCTCAATTAATACAAACTATATCAGGCTTCACAAAGTACGCTGTGGTTCTCTAATTTGTAACTTGGACAGATTTGCTGAGCTTTACATATAAAACACATACAAGTGCTGTTGAAGTTCATGTATGTATTTTGTCTTCATCCAGCAGGGTTACCATGGGACTATGTGTCCTGCCTGAGCCAAGGTGGAAAGTTCTGTTATCCTGTTGTTTGTTAGACACTAAAGTTCACTGTTCGGTGGTCAGAGGTTGAGCCATGTTGGAGGTTGCATGTCAATAATAATCAACATGGAGAGATGGGTCATGGGTGTCTCAATTAGACCATATGTGCTGGTCCTGTGTTTGTTACTACAAGACTAGGAAATGTGCCAGAATAAAGAACAAAAAAACAGAGCAGAGTAGAATAAAAGTGGTTTGTTGAGGCCAGGAATACAACACTGAAAACCAGAAAAAAAGAAAAAGAAAAAAAAGGAAACCAGTGATTTGGAGGGGGACAATGGGAAATAAGAGAGAGATTCAGGCCAAAGGGGAAACACTGGCATGGAACAAAAATTCATGTCATAATCCCTAGAGTGGCAGTGGCGTGTGAGGGGAACCCTCGTCTCACGCAGTTGCTGGAAAATGAACAAGCCATCCCTAAAATTCACCGTCTCCCCTACACATTATCCACCCACACACAGCCCATAAACAGTTTTTCTGAAAAATATAGGCAACGGTAACTGGTGCAATGAAGCCAAATTATCAGCTTGCACTGGATACTGTAAGCAAAGTCTGGAAGTTTCGAGAAATACCCCTTTACCTAAGATGCGTTCCACCCTATAAAAAGGTACGAATATTGGCTTGCTTCTGAATAGAAATTAGTACATTTGTTTGGCATAAAAAGTTGTATTCTAATTAGTATTCTATATATCTCATTTATCACCCACCTGATGGAGCTAAATAAAACAACATCTGATCTCACCTGGGGTGTCTTCCTCTTCCTCTTTCAGTACGTTGTTGTCATCCACATCATCCTCCTCATCCCCCTTTCTTGCTTTTCTCGTGCCGTCCTTCACCGGGACAACAGTGAAGTTGGTGGGCATTTTTACACCATGTGCTTCCTCTCGATGTCTCCCGTTTGTCACACTCTTATCTCTCTCTCTTTTCTCCTCCCTCTCCGTTCTGCTGCTCCTCTCTTTCTCTCTCTCTCTCTCTATCTTCCTCCGTCCAGTAGCTGTCACTCTTCTCTTCCTTCTTGCTCTTGTTCTCAGCTGTTTGCTTTTCTGTTCTGACTTTCTGCCCTGATGTACTAAACTCCCCTGGACAGACGTTGGGTCTTACTTCTGAGTTTTTGTTTCTATCGCTAGGATTCTACTGTACACCCATGTGACCCCCCCCCCCCTGCACTGACTATCCAAATAAGGAAGAGCAGTACTGCCCCGCCCAATTGGGGCAGTACACACACCAGCATGAAAACATGACATGCATTTGTGTTCATGAGTGTGTGAGCACATACATACTTCCTTGCCTGAGGCCAGATCCTCTTCCCAGGAATGTCGCTCTGTCTCAAATACAACAAAAGCCGGCAGTGTCAGCCTTTGTTCAAAGAGAGGAGGAAGCCCAGAACTACTCCACTGAAGAAAGTTTTCACACACTCAAATACTCACACATACATCTCCTCACTTCCTAAGCGCTGTTATTTGACCCAGTGTGCACAGTCTGCAGTGGGCAGGGCTCATTTAAAGACGTATACTGGCCCTCTAAACCACACACCCCTATGGAGGGTTAGCTCACGTGTATACACATGCAAACACACACATTCAAGTCCTGCATTATATATACATCTTGTTATTAATGTCCTTTATGCTACAGAGAAAATATACTTAGAGAGGGGGATGGGAAACTGACGGAGGCATAGTGAGGGGAGGCAACTGAATCAATATGAGTGTCAACATTATGCTCTTATCTCTTCAGAGCAACCTCGGAAATAGGAGCTACAGTGTTGACAACAGAGACAAACACTCTGTTGCACCTGAGCATGAGAGGATTGTTCTTAGACTCAAAGCCTGAGAAAATGTGTTCAGAGGCTACGGGTACATGGGGGTAAAAAAAAAAAAATGTCACCTTGTGTCCATTTCTTCAAATACTGCAAGTACCAAAGGAAAAAATAAAGCCACTATTACATTATCAAATCTCACTTGCTACTATTCTCTTCCATCAAGCTGTGTATCCAGCAGCAGCAGTGTATTGCTGCTTTCATTCAAATACATCAGCTGATCTTATCTCTATGCAAAAACAATGAGTCATTTCCTCAGGGTAAAGAGCGCATTGACAGTGATACAAGGTTTTAGGTCTCACACCAAGCAACTAAAAGCCCAGTGTGATGGGAAATGCTAAAAGAAACCCTGATGGAGGAAGAAGACACAACATGAGAGCCAGATGTCCAGTTCTTTCATAATGCTGCAGCCCTAAAGCCTCATATGGATGCTAAATATCTGGAGTCCCACCCAGAATAAGTCAGCCTCTCCCCTCTTTAGTTCCTCAACATGACGACATACGAGATCAATACAGTCAGCAGAAGGGTGGGGGCTACAGGAAATAGTGAAGGAGGTGAGGTGGAGCTGAAGGCAAGACAATCATAGACAGAGACAGGCAGGCAGAGTGATCAACTTACAGGAAAATATTTGCAACTTAAACAAGACTTAAGAGACTTCATTTCTGAAGACAGAGCCAGAGTAAGAATAATTTCACTTGGTACCACTGAGGTTGAGAGAATTCCTGAACTTTTTGAGTTGTATTCAAGTCCTTGACTACAGAAATACTTAGAAATATCTAGGTACTGGGTTAGTTGCTATGTTTCAAATTAGCATACTTTGTCTCTATAATGATTGGTCTGGGGCCATGATTTAAAAAGATTATATTTTGACTTGTCTTCAGAGAGAATAGGTATTTAACTTGCTACTGCAATTTACTAATTAGTTAACTCTATCTACCACAAAAGTCCACTTCTAGACAAATACTAGCCTTTCAGTTACATTTCTCAGAACTGAAAATGCCAAATTTATCTTACTGTCATTTAATAAGATTCTTAAAACTCATGCCACTGTTTTGCTGCCAGTTTCTGGTCCCCGTGTTTCCCCTAGACTGATTATGTACTGTCAGGGACAACACAGTGGTCCCATAGCTAATTCTAAATTCTTACCTCAAAGTAAGAACAAGAAGGAACGTTTTTGGGGGGATTTTCAGGGGCATATCAGTGCCTAAGGGAAACTCAAAGGAATCCATTCACCAGAACACTGTGTGTTCACAGACTATAACGGCTCAATCAGTAAAACCTGTCAGCTACTCAATCAAGCATTTCAGAAATACTTTATGGAGCCGGCAGCCCAGGTTTTGATGAGACTTAATAGTTTTAGTAAGTCGCTGTGGTTGCAAATATGGTTCTGGATTCAGGCTATGTGCAAGTGAAAAGTTTAGTGAATGCGTCTGGTAGCTTAGTACCGTTTCCAGAATCCCTGTGCTTCTGTGCCAGTACAGCAATAATCAATACAGTGATCTGACAAAGGAATATTCACACAGTTGTTGTGGTCTTGCTAAGGTAACAAAGACAGCACTTATCTACTCCATGCTCAGTGAATAAGCAGTGATGTAACTGGCATCCGCTGATTAAGTGGCCAGACAGTCTGACTGCTTCTCATGGACAGTCAGGACATCCAGGCCAGGGGGACAATGTCCCTTTTATGAGAAAGTTCACAGCAAGTCACATTTGACACTGAAAACTAAAACAGCTTGTACCCAAATTCCGTTTTTCACCACATCATTTGACATGTCATTGTGACATTGATGCAATTAGCAATTATTCACAGCCAAAGAACAATACGAAAATGCAGGAGCACAAAGGTATTTATTACATAACTATAGTCTAGACTCAACTGTTGCTCTTAAAGACCCCACGCCACAAACCAAGGAAAAATAATAAAAAATAAATAAAGTATTTTAATAATAAATGATAAATAAAAATATTTTAATAATAATTGATATGCACTTGTTTCACTTCATCACTTAAGCTCAGTATGAGAGATTTAGGCACCAAAAATTATAAAACTGGTGTTCATTTGTGAATATTATGTTGCTGATAAGTATCCTAAACTTCTCTTTATCACAGAGCTTATTTGCTGCAGTAATACAAAAGCCAGTATAAAAATCCCGTTGTCAAGGAAACCAGGGTGATGCTGGTGATCTGGGTTGGCTATAAAATTATATACAAAAATTTATACAAAATAATGTTCAGACTATTCTCAGTTATTTTAAATATCAGAGAGTTGCACTAAATGTTAAGTCTTTACTATGGTTAGTCAGAAGAGTTGGGTAACACTCACTGGAATTATATGATATTGGGTATTTCTCTGAGCTTCCTCTCAGGGGATATAGGACTGGACTTATTCCTCATTAAAAAGGGAAGGGTATGTGTAGTGGCCTCAGAAAGCCTTCAGACTCCTTCACCCTTTGCACACTTTAATGTGTTGTTGAAAAGAGAGAAAATGGCCAGTTTTACCAATTTAAAATAAAATCTACAACACAATGAAGTGCCAAAGTGAAGGGGTCTGATTACTTTCTGAAACCAGTGTATAGTCTATTATGCAGTGACGAATTCTTCTGGCTAGAAAAACAGCTCACTTTTTCTCCACACAGTCAGATTCCAATCCCAAAATAGGTATATTGATTGATTCTAGGGAGGGAAGATGGGAGGAGACTAGATATGCAACAGATACACCAAGTACAGCCCAAGGACAGGGGAATAGTACAGTATCCAAAAGGTAACTAAGGACCAGGAAATAAAAGTTTGTATACATCTGCAATTTTATGTTATTAGTATTATAAACAAAACTATTACAACATTATGGCTGACTGTTTATTTTATCTAAAATACTATTAGAGCACATAAATACTAATTGAGTGTTTAAAAATAATTGTTCTGCAGGACTGGGACTAAGCAAAAGTTAAAACTTCCTGATAGCAGCAAGGTAGCAAAGTCAGAAAACACCACCTCAAATGTCTGAGACATCAGCAGTCTGGCCTCTCTAGAGCCTTTAAGTAATACACTATAGTGCCCTCTGGAGGGGGGAGGGGGAAGGACAACTCAATATACCGATGTGAAATGCCAGTGTGAAATGCAATCAAAATTACATAAATCTAAAAAGGAGCTCATGGCAGCTAACAGGATAGAGTATCATTTCTTTATCATGTCATGTGAGTTGGGTCACAGCCTTTGTCACATGACATCTTTCCTTCTCTCTATTACTTCCCCCTCCTTTTAAAACTGCATTGCACGATTTTTGACCAACCTCTGTTAGTCAAAAGGCCAGACGCTAGACAGAAGAAAACATATGATATATTATATTGCTCCACACTGTGAGCTCTTATGTCTCAAGCATGAGCATAAAATTAACCATTCATTTATCAAGCAGAAATGCAGCAACAAGAGGATCTAATTGGAGTAATCTTTCCTGTTATGTGTTCAATGCAAACCAACATTCTTCAGTATCTTAGCTCCTAATGGCGTCTGTTTTTTCTACTTTTGAATTTGATTTGTCTCCTCTCATTATGCAGGAGAGAGATGAAGACTAAAAATGATACTCTGTTGCCCCCATTTGATCCAATCTGGAAATACAAGTTACAATGCCATCATGAAATAATATGGGGAAAAAATCATTTGTTTTATATTTTGTACAAATGCAGACCAACAGATTGACAAACACAGTGCCCCTAAGCTAATACCACACATTCAACATTTATAATCTTTCATGTCTTTTTTGAACACAGCCATTAAACATTAACAGTGCTGGTGGAAAAAGCAAGTGAACCCTTGGATTTAATAACTCATTGATCGTCCTTTGGCTCCAATAACCTCAAACCGGCTCCTCCAGTAGCTGCTGATCAGAGCTGCACAATGTTCAGGAGGAATTTTGGACCATTCTTCCTACAGAGCTGCTTCAGCTGCATCTGAGGATGTCTGGTGTGAGTGTCTCTCTTCAGCTCATTCCACAGCATCTCTGTTGTATTAAGGTCTGGGCTCTGACTGGACCACTCCAGAAGGTGGAGTTTCTTTGTTTGACACCTGTAGTAGATTTACTTTGATGTTTAGGGGCATTGTCCTGCTGCATCACCCAGTTTCTCCTGAGCTTCAGCAGGTGAACGGACACCCTGACATTATCCTGTAAGAGACCTGGATAAACTTCGCAATTCATTTTCCCCATGATGTTGAGACATCCAGCTCTAACCCACACCTCCAATCTAGTTTCATTGACTCCTGACTGCAATCAGCTTTT